ATATTATATTATATTATATTATATTATATTATATTATATTATATTATATTATATTATATTATATTATATTATATTATATTATATATTATATATTATATATTATATATTATATATTATATATTATATATTATATATTATATATTATATATTATATATTATATTATATTATATTATATTATATTATATTATATTATATTATGTTTTTAATCCAACTCCAATTCAATATATTACAAATCAATATTATCGATAATTTTATTGATTTTTTTAAATTTTTGGATTCATTTATCCATTTATCCATTTATTTATTTGGGCATTTCAATCCCTGGAAGTGTCCAACAGCAGCTTGGACAAATCTGGGACTGGAACCCATCCAGCTCCATCCCAGAATCCCAGGATCCCTGAATCCCAGAATCCCACAATTCCTCATTTCCCGTGGGATCCCAGGATGGGTTTTGTGGGATCCCAGGATGGATTCCATGGGATCCCTGGATGGATTCCGTGGGATCCCAGGATGGATTCCGTGGGATCCCGGGATGGATTCCGTGGGATCCCTGGATGGATTCCGTGGGATCCCTGGATGGATTCCGTGGGATCCCTGGATGGATTCCATGGGATCTGGGGATGGATTCTGGATGGGATCCTGGATGGGTTCTGTGGGATCCCAGGATGGATTCCATGGGATCCCGGGATCTGCTGTGTCCCGCAGGCCTGCAGCCCGCTCTGGGCCCACGAGTGCGGCAGCTCCTACTTCACCACGGGAATGTGTTCCCGCGTCAGCTCCAGCTTCCGCTTCTCCCGCAGCGTGGCTCCGGCTCTGCAGAGTGAGCGCCCACATTCCCAGCCCCATCCCGGCTCTGATCCCAGCTTTGATCCCGACCCAATCCTGGCCTGATCCCAGATCTGATCCCAACTCCATCCCAGCTCTGATCCCGGCTCTGATCCCAACCCCATCCTGGCTCTGATCCTGCCCTGATCCTGCCCTGATCCCGGCTCTGATCCGTGCTCTGATCTGTGCTCTGATCCTGACCTATTCCTGGCTCTGATCCCAACCCGATCCTGACCCAATCCCAGCTCTGATCCAGCTCCAATCCCACCTCTGATCCCAGTTCTAATCCCGGCTCCGATCCCAGCTCCGATCCCAGCTCCGATCCCATTTTGGCTGCACAAAACAAAGCCCTCATCGACCGGGAGTTGAATCCTTTGGAATTTGGCAATTTGGAGCCAGGATTTTATTCCAGAGGGTTCCAATGAAGTTTCCTGCTTTTCCTGGAGCTGGGAAAGATTCCCAGAGGCCTGTCCTGCTCCTGGGAGCTCCTCATCCCATGGGATGTGATTCCCCAGCTCCAGAACTCCTCTGGTGTTGGTTCCCAGGGCAGAGGGATGAATTGGGAAAAACGGGATTTGGGAGGGGATCAAGGCAGAAAAAGCCCAGCCCAGCACCACATTCCCAGGGGATTGGAAAAGAGGGGCTTGGAAAAACGGGATTTTCGGGATCAAGGCAGCAAAGGCATCAAATTCCCGTTGTTACATTCCCGCCCTCGCTGCGAAGGATAATTGGGATTTTTGGGAGTTTCAGGAAGTGTTGATTTAGTGGGATACGAGGCCGGCTCCTCTCCGTGATTCCCAGGATGGGATGGAGGCACGCCCAGGATCCCAGTGATCCATGAGTGACTCCAATCCATGGATCCTTTCATCCATAAAAACCTACAGAGTGATAAAAATCCAGGAATTTTCCAAGGAACAAGCGAGACTGAGATGATCCTGAGCGAATTTTTAAGGAAAAATCCTTAAATCCTTCCCGCTCCGGCTGCAGAGCCGAGCCCTGGGGTCCCCTCCGGGGTTTTTGGCTGCCTCTGGAGCCGAGAATTTCACGGGAAGGGAGGAAATGCCTGCCTTGTGTTCCATGGCAGGGCTGGGAATGACTCAGGGATCAGGAACGGAGCCGGATCCTGCTCCCCTTTGAAAAAGGGGATCAAATTCCGAAGCTGAACCCGGAATGTTATTCCTCAGGAGCGATCCCATCTTTTCTCAGCAGGAGAAGATTCCTGTGGCTTCTCCCCGCCAAAGCTCTTTCCCAAACGATCAAAATCCCTTTTTTTTTTCCCGGAAAAATCCCAAGCTGGAATCGAAGCTGTAAATCCTCCCCCTTTGCGAGGGGACTTGTAATAAATCTCTGGATTTTCCACAGGGTGCCAGACCTACATGGACATCATCATCGTTCTGGATGGATCCAACAGCATTTATCCGTGGGTTGAAGTCCAGCACTTCCTGATCAATATCCTGAAAAAGTTTTACATCGGTCCCGGCCAGATCCAGGTCCCGAAACGTTTGTGTCATCCCAGGGCCATTCCCAACGTCCCTTTCCTGTGGGAATTCGTGAAAATGTTGGGATTTTCAACTCATCCCGTGGGGAAAAGTGGTGCCGTGAATGTTCCCGAGGGAGCTGTGGAGGGATCCCAGATCCCGACGGGAACAGGGAGGGTGAAACCCACAGGAAGGAGCTCCCCGTCCTCTCCAAGTAAACATGGGTTGATTTAGGCAGGAATTTGGGCCGGGATTTGAGCAGGAATATCCCAAATTTTCTCAAATTTGGTCCCACCTGGAGATGCCTCTGCTCCAAACTGGCGCACACCCGGACCACCCCAAAACCCGGGATCAGAGCAGGGAGGAGCGCCACAAAACCGGGAATGAATTTGGGATGGAATCCGAGGGGCGATTCCTGCGGGCAGGACCTCGTTTTGGTGGCACCTTTGGTGACATTCCCGTCATTCCCAGGTGGGAGTTGTCCAGTACGGAGAGGATGTGGTCCATGAATTCCATCTGAACGACTACAGGTCCGTGCAGGACGTGGTGGCGGCTGCCAGCCACATCGAGCAGCGAGGGGGCACCGAGACCAGGACCGCCTACGGCATCGAGTTCGCCCGGTAAATTCCCACCTGGATTCCCGGGAAAACCTTCCCCAATCCCTGGTTTTTATCTCCCTCCTTCCCTCTCCCTTTGTTGTTGAAATGAGGGAACGGCCGGGGTTTGTGGGGAAATGTCATTCCTTGGAGGCTTTGCCAACGGCGCTTCCCAAAATTTCTCCGTCATCGTTTGGGGATGGAGCGGATTCTGGAATTGTGTCCTCTCCTTGGAAGCTCCCAGGCCCCAAATTCCAGCAGATCTCCTGGAAATCCCTGGAGAACCCCCAGGAACCCAGGACAGCTCCATCTCCTCCCTTTCCAGGGACAAATCCTGCTCTTTTTCCCGAGAGCTATTCCTGCCACAGAGCTTGGAATTTTAGGTCGGAAAAGAGGTCAGAGGTCAAGTCCCAAAGTGCCGCATCCCCGTGGCTTTGAAATCCCTGCAGGAATGGCCATTCCAGCACCGCCTGGAAAAGTTTTAGGCGGATTCCGATGGATCTCGGCCAGATCCCGAACGATTCATGTCACACGCGAATCCACCTTTTCCATAAATACTCCGGAATTCCGTCAGAAGAGCGGGATTTCCACAGGGGTGGATAATCGGGTGAAGAAAATTTTCCCTCACGGGGAGAAACCTTTTTAGAGCGAGGCCAAAACTCCTCGGAGCGACTCGGGATCCATCCCCTCACCCGATTTTAGGGAACGAAGGCTCCTTTCCCGGAAAAAAAGCGGGAAAACCGCACATCCCGCGTCTTCTCTTGGCTCGCAGCTCGGAGGCGTTCCGGAAGGGCGGCCGGAAAGGGGCGAAGCGGGTGATGATCGTCATCACGGACGGGGAATCCCACGACAGCCCGGACCTGGAGAAGGTGATCGAGGACAGCGAGAGGGACAACGTCACCAGATACGCCGTGGCGGTGAGCCGGGGGGTGGGCATGGTGCTGCTGCGGGGCTTGCTGCTGCTCCGGGAATTCCAAAGCACCGGGATGGCCCATCCCAACTGCTTCTGGGGCATTCCAAGGGTTCCTGTCTATCCCCACTGCTCCTGGAACATTCCAAGTGTTCCTGTCCATCCCCACTTCTCCTGGATCATTCCAAGGGTTCCTGGAGCATTTCAAGACCTCCTGGAACATCCCAGGAGGTCCTAGAGCATTCCAAGGGTTCCTGTCCATCCCAACTGCTCCTGGAGCATTCCAAGAGCTCCTGGAACATTCCAAGGGCTCCTGTCCATTCCCACTGCTCCTGGAACATTCCAAGAGCTCTTGGAACATTCCAAGGGCTCCTGTCCATTCCCACTGCTCCTGGAACATTCCAAGAGCTCCTGGGGCTGGTGCTGCTTTTGGGATGCTCAGCTCGGGATTCAGCTGCTGGAGCAGGAGCCGGGACCAGGGACAGGCGGGACCCCAAATTCCATGAGGAATGTCCTGGAGGAACTGCAGCAGCTCCTCTGTTCCCACAAAGCCGTGTCAGATCCCAGGATGGGGCTTCTCCCACATGGACACCCCGGATGGGTTTATCCATCCTGGGAAAACCCAGAGGAGCTGCTGCCTCCATCCCTGGAAGTGCCCAAGGCCGGGTTGGACGAGGCTCGGAGCCAGCTGGGATGGATCCAAACAACGGGACCACCTTTAAGATCCAAACCAAAAATCTGGGAATTCAAATCCCGTGAAAGTCTGGCCTTTCATTCCCACCCAGGTTTTGGGTTATTACAACAGGAGAGGGATCAACCCTGAGGCCTTTCTGAACGAGATCAAATTCATCGCCAGCGACCCCGACGACAAACACTTCTTCAACGTCACCGACGAGGCGGCGCTCAAGGACATCGTGGATGCTCTGGGAGAAAGGATTTTCAGCCTGGAAGGTCAGGGACGCTCCCGGCTCATCCCAATCTGCCGCCGATCCTTTTTTTCCCCTCCGGATTTGGACACGGTTCCACAAAATCTGTGGGGAAAATCCTGCTTGGGGTATCTTGAGATGGAGGGGAATGTTTGGGGCTCGGATAGAGGGAGGTGTTTTTTCCGAAGGATACGCCGCGTTCCGGACGCCGGAATTGTGGTGGCTTTGATTTTCCTTTTTATAGAAAAGCCCGGAGATTAGGGAATTTGAGGAATGGGGGGAATTTGGGCCTCATCCATCAAAATCCAGGGATACAAACAGGAGCTTCCCGGGGCGCCAGACACGGGATGATTCTGGGGATAACGTCGGGATTTCGGCTTTATTGGCTGAAATGAAATATCAGGAAATATTTCTGTCTTAAATGTCAGCTCTTGTGACAGTTTTGTCGCTCTCCCAAACTAAATTTATCAGAATTTCCGAGGAAAAATGCAGCCTGGAATGAACGATTGGAACAGGAGACGGAGGGGGAATGAAAGAGTTTGAATTTTGGGGATTTGGGCTCAAACCAGCTCCCAGACTCCTCACAAGTTTCCCACTTTTCTCTGTCCAGCCTTGGCGCTTCCCTGTGGAAGTTGTCCTGGGTGAGGAATTCCCACAGTTGGAATTGGGAAGGGAAAAACCTGGGAATCACCGGTTTTGGGTGATCTTGCAGCTCTGCAAGGGCAGATCTGGACCCCAGCAGAGCTCCCAGACCTCCCAATGGCACGAGGATGTGGGATTGGGGGATTTGGGGAGAAATGGGATCATCATTGGGATGTGGAGCTGCTGGAGCAATTCCAGAGGAGGCTCCGGAGCTGCTCCAAGGGTGGAACCCCTCTGGAGCCAGGCTGGGAGAGCTGGGAATGTTCCCCTGGAGAAGGGAAGGATCCAGGGAGGATCCCCTGCTCAGAGCCCCTTGCAGGGCCTGAAGGGGCTCCAGGAGAGCTGGAGAGGGATTTGGGATAAGGGATGGAGGGACAGGACACAGGGAATGGCTCCCAGTGCCAGAGGGCAGGGATGGATGGGATATTGGGAAGAAATTCCTGTCTGGGATGGAATTCCCAGAGCAGCTGTGGCTGCTCCTGGATCCCTGGAATGTCCAAGGCCAGGCTGGAGCAACCTGGGATAGGGAAGGGCTGGAATGGGATGGGATCAGGGCCCAGCCCCTCCAGGAAAGCAAAACTCTCCGTGAAACACAAATTCCCATTTTTTTTTTCTTTAAGGAACCAACAAGAATGAGATCTCCTTCGGACTGGAAATGTCCCAGACTGGATTTTCATCCCACGTCGTGGAGGTAAGAGAGGAAATGTGGGAATTCTGTTTTGCTCCTGCCTTGTCCTGTTTATCACCCCCCGCTCCAGGTGGGAGATCGGGATTTGGGACAAATTATTATTAATTATGGGGTTAAATCATTAACGTGAGGATAAGGAAATCCTGCTGGATTATCCCATGGGAAAGGGGGAGTTGGGAGACCCGAGCATTCCTTCGGATCTGCAGCATCTCCTCCCGATGCCGTGACCCCTTGGGAAGGACTGGGATATCCATGGAAAAAGTGTTTGGGAATTTCCCGGGGAGAAAAAACACATTGGAAAAGCAGGAATAGGGTGGAAGCGGCATTCCAGCGTTTTTAGAGCCCTCCAGCATTCCCGGTGTTTTGGGAAGAGCGGTTTCCTGGTCTGTGTGGGGTCAGAGGGATGGAATCCCACCAAATCCCTCCGGTTTTCCCACAGGACGGGATCCTGCTGGGAGCAGTGGGAGCCTATGACTGGAATGGAGCCGTCCTGAAGGAAACCAGCAGCGGGAAGGTCATTCCTCTGCGGGAATCCTACCTGCAGGAATTCCCGGAGGAGCTGAAAAACCACGGAGCCTACTTAGGTGGGGAGAGCTGAGCTAAAATTCAGGATTTTATCCTTAAAAGTAGGAAGCACGGGATTTTATCCATGGCAGACTTGTGGGATGCAGCACAGGAGCATCCACAGCTGGGAAGAGCCTGGCTCCCAGCCCGGAGCGGGGCACAGACAGGATTGAAATCCAGGAGCAGCCGAGCCAGCGGCTTCGTCCGCAGCTTTCCTTGGAACGCTTTCAAAGCGCCGATGGAATTTCATGCCTGGGCAGGAAATACCTGCTGGGTTAATCCATTCCATGTGCAGCCGCTGAAGCTCTGGAATAAAAAACCTCGGCCTGGATCGGGAAACGCGGCCTCTCCTCGGAGGGAGGCGGGATTCTGTGGGATCGGCACCCCAAGGCTCTTCCCTGGAATCCATGGGGTGACAGCAGAGCGTCCCCCCGGAGCTGTGGGTGTCCCGTGGGAATCCCTGAGCTCTCTTTCCCGCTGCCCGGAGGGAGGAATCCAGGAATGTTGAGGAATGCTGGTGTATCCTGCTGAGGAGCAGCCGGGGCAGCTCCGGGCTGGGGTTTGGTTTGGGAATATCCCTCCAGGAGAGGCTTTTTTAGGGAAAGAGGAACCCCAGGTAAGGCTGGTGAGCAGGGAAAGGGGGCTGGAAATCCCTGGAGATACTCAAAATTTAACTGGATGTGATCCCAGGGATTCAGTTTCACGGCTGGCCAGACTTTGAGCTCCACAGAATCCCAGAATCCTGGAGTGATTCGGGTTGGAAAGGAACTTGGAGCTCATCCCATCCCATTCCACCTTCCCTTATCCCAGGTTTCTCTGGGCAGCCTGTTCCACTCCCGAGGATTTGAGTGGAATTTAAACCCGAGCCTGAAGATTCGGGAACCTGGACTTGGGGCCGAAAACCAGGATTTGGCAGCTTTATATTCCCACAAAATCCCGTCTGCAGGCGTGGAATCCCAGTAGGAAAACGGGATTGCTCAGGGTCACCGGCTCAGGCAGGGCTATTTCCACGAGGAGGAATGGTTTGATTGGATTCATGGATTTTATTGGATTGGGAATGTTGACATCAAGCTCCGGCAAAGCTTTTCCTGCCCGGTGTTCCCAGAGGAGCGGAGCAGCGGGAGCTGCGACTTCCCAAGGCCCGGCACCTCGCGGGTGTTTGTCCAGCTGGATTTGAGCCGTGGAATGAAACATTCAGAAGTCCAGGAATTGCAGGAATTGGATTCATCCCGGATAAAAGAAGGATTTGCACAGGAAGCGCAAATTGGGCAGTGCCAAAACTCCCGGCACGGCTCCGGCAGCACCGGAGCGTCCATCCGGGTGATTCTATCTTTGGAAAAATCCAGGTTTTTTAAGCTCCTCTTTTTGGGAAGCGGCCAGAGCCGTGTCAGCAGCCAGGGGCTGAAGGAAAGCAGATCCCGGGAGCAGGCAGGGAATTCCCGGGATTCTCACTCGGCGTCCGTCCCTTTTCCAGGTTACACCGTCTCCTCCGTCGTCTCCACCAAGCATGAGCGGATTTACGTGGCAGGAGCGCCGCGCTTCAACCACACCGGCAAAGTCATCCTGTTCACCATGCACAGCAACAGGAACCTCACCATCCACCAGGCCCTCAAGGGAGAGCAGGTAATTCCGGCCGGGAATTTTACCCCTGGCAAAAAATCCACCCTCTCCTTGGGTTTTCCCAATGGGAACGGTCGTGGCCGCGCCCGCCGGAGTTGGGACATCCCTGCGGATGGCAGGGAATGACGGCGGCGTTCCGGCGGCATTCCGGCTCCTCCAGATCGGCTCCTACTACGGCAGTGAGATCAATTCCCTGGATGCCAATGGCGACGGCGTCACCGACGTCCTGCTGGTGGGAGCGCCCATGTTCTTCAGCGAGGGCCGCGAGAGGGGCAAGGTCTACGTGTACACCCTGCGGGGGGTGAGTGGGGACACCGCGGGGACACTGCAGGGACACCGCAGGGACCTCCTGACGCTGTCCCGCTGGTCACAGACCCTCTGGGGGTCCGGCATTCCCGGCTCCCGGGTGGGTTTGGGATGGGAGATTTGTTGTGTGGGAATGGGGGCGTTCCCTCTGGAGAAACCATCTCCAGCTCCATGGCCTCCTCCAAACTCGTTCCCACCAGGGAGAGCTCAAAGCTCCTGCCCGGTGCTTCCCTGAGGAAGTTGTCCTGGGTGAGGAATTCCCACAGCTGGAATTAGGAAGGAATTCTCCCAGTTGGAATCAGGAAGGAATTCTCCCAGTTGGAATTAGGAAGGAATTCTCCCAGTTGGAATTAGGAAGGAATTCCCACAGCTGGAATTAGGAAGGAGTTCCACAGTTGGAATTAGGAAGGAATTCTCCCAGTTGGAATTAGAAAGGAAAAACCCTCCTTCCTTATCCAATCCCTGCTGGAGGCTCCCTCCTCCTCCCAGCCTGGCTGCCGACCCTTCGGGAATTGTTCTCCCGCCTTTTTCCCCTCCGGCAGAACCTCTTCGTTCCCAGCGGAGCGCTGGGGGATCTCCAGAGTTACCAGAATTCCCGGTTCGGCTCCTGCATCGCCGCCGTTCCCGACCTCAACCAGGACTCCTACAACGACCTGGTGGTGGGGGCCCCTCTGGAGGACGAGCACCAAGGAGCCATCTATGTTTTCCTTGGATTCCAGGAGACCATCCTGAGGAAGTACAAGCAGGTGGGGCTTCCCCGCGCTTCCTTTTCCTCGTTTTTCACGGAAAATACCGTGGGATATTCTGGATATTGGATATTCGCGGGAAGGAATGTCGTTGGTGCCGGTTTTAACGGAGCGGGATAAATCAACCTAAATTATTCCATGGAATGGCTGGGGGAAAAAAAACCTTGGAATTAAAAACAATGCTTAGAGTTTGTTGCGAGGGATTGCTATAGGTTTATTAATTCTAATTAAATTTTTAATTAGAATTATTTTATTAATTATATATATAATATATATAATAATTATATAGAAATATATGTAATTATATATGTAATATATAGAATATAAATAAATGCATAATATAAATAAATATATTTATATTTATATTTATATTTATATTTATATTTATATTTATATTTATATTTATATTTATATTTATATTTATATTTGTATTTATATTTACATTTACATTTATATTTACATTTATATTATCATCTAGTATAATTATGTAATATAAATATATATAATATGTTATGTATCATTATGTTAATTACACATTATTTATTTATTATAATTATATCAATACTATTACTATATTAATATAAATTGATTAATTATTCTTAATTAGAAATAAATTATTTCTTAAAACTTATTTATTACATTTTTGATAAATATTAAATACTCTTGATAAATATGAAATAAATTTAAAATAAAATTTTAAAATTTAATGTTAAATTAATTTAAATTAAATTAATATTAATTATTAATTCTGCTGCTAAATCCAGTAAAAATCTCCAAAGAGAATTTGCTTTCATTCCCTGGAAATTCCTTCTTGGAAGGGGGAATTTCCAGCGGAGCCAGCCTGGCAAACCCTTGGCAGGCGGGGACGCTCCCGCCGGGATCCAGCCTGGATCGCTGCCGTTCCTTTCCAGCGGATCGCGGCCGCCCAGCTGGCTCCGGGCCTGAGCTACTTTGGCTGCAGCATCCACGGGCAGCTGGATCTGAACGAGGACGGGCTGGTGGACTTGGCCGTGGGCTCGCTGGGCAACGCCGTGCTGCTCTGGTGAGCCGCCGATCCTCTCCCGATCCCCCTGCCCAAATCCTGCCGCGCTTCTCCCAGGAAAAACCGAACCCAGCGATAATCCACGGAATCTTTCCCAAATAACCGACCCCTGCCCAACACGGCCAGGGGATCTCAATCTCCTGGGGCTCTGAGGAGGTGCCAGGGTTGGTTTTCCATTGAGTTTCACCCATGGGTTCTCCACAAATCCCAGATTCCTTTGTGGGGATTTTCCCAGGATCCTTCGGGTCTGATTTAATTAGAGGAATATTTCAAATGTTAATTAGTGCTCAAGGGAGAAGGGATGGAGGGTGGCTGTGAGATGGGTCACCTTGGAGAGGCCCTGTGGGCTTCCCAAGAGACAAAAAACAAGAGGGAAAAAGAGGGGAAAATAGGAAAAAGAGGGGAAAATAGGAAAAAGAGGGAAAAGGAGGGGAAAGAAGATAAAAGGAGGGGGAAAAAAGGAAAAAGAAGGGAAAAGGAGGGGAAAAGAGGGAAAAGGAGGGAAAAAGAGGGAAAAAGAGGGAAAAAGAGGGAAAAAGGCAAACCTGGAGCTGTGGGATGTCCCATCCCTGTCCCCAGGTCCCGCAGCGTGGTCCGGATCAACGCCAGCCTCCGCTTCGAGCCCTCCAAGATCAACATCTTCACCAAGGACTGCAAGCGCAACGGGAAGGAGGCCACGTGCATGAGAGCCTTCGTCTGCTTCACCGCCCTCTTCCTCTCCCCTCACTTCCAGACCGCCAGCGTGGGTAAGGACAGAATTCCCGTTCCTGCCCCGATTTTTGGGATGGGAACCATGCGGGAGCTTGGAGGAGCTCACGCGTCCATCTGGCGCTTCCGAGTCTAAATCCCACCTCATCCCTCACCTGTTCCCTGGGCTGAGCTCTCCTGGGATTTGCCATTCCGCGCTCCGTGTGACGGGAATGTCGCCACGGCGGGACAGGAGCGCCCGGCCCGCGTTCCGCAGGGCTCCTCCATCCCGGGATCATCCGTCTGGGACACATCTGCCGGCCAGATGTGCGTTTTCCATAATATCCCAGGGAATCTGCAGAGCTGGCCGGCTCTCCCGTTAAACCCTTGGACGGTGCCGTGACCCCGAGTCCCCCCGGCGGATTCCCGGGAGGCAGCGATAGCGGCAACCACCGTCCAAGGAAAAACGGGATCCAAAGGAAAAACAGGATCCAAAGGAAAAACAGGATCCAAAGCCAAAGGAAAAACTCCCATCGCCCCGAGCGAGAGTTTTGTTTTGTGCTGACAAATCCAGCGTTTTTCTCCCTGCTGCTCTCCCCGTGGGATAAAATCGGAGTGGGATTTCTTTATTTATTTGATTTTATCTTTATTTCCACGTGGAAGATTCGGCCCCTCTGCTCTGGAGCCGGGCTGGGAGAGCTGAGGAAAAGGGAAAAATCCAGGGAATCCTCAGAGCCCTTCCCAGGGCCTGAAGGGGCTCCAGGAGAGGGATTTGGGACAAGGGACAGGACACAGGGAGTGGCTTTAAGCTGGAAGGGGGATGGATGGGATATTGGGAATTGTTCCCTGGGAGGGTGGGGAGGGGCTGGGATGGAATTCCAGAGCAGCTCTGGCTGCCCCTGGATCCCTGGAATGTCCAAGGCCAGGCTGGAGCAGCCTGGGACACTGGGAGGAATCCCTGCCACTGGAATGGGATGGGATTTAAGGTCCTTCCCAACCCAAACCGGTCCGGGTTCGGTGGCTCTCCAAAATCCCTGCTTGGCTGGGAATCTCCAGCTTCTCCCCAACAGCAGCTCAGGAAGAGAAATTTCTCCAAAAATCATCCAGGTGAGGGGTGGGCTCCGATTCCTCCAGAGCAACACGGGACATTAATTAATTAATAATAATAATTAATATTGACAGGCAAAGAATTCCACGCCCGCGCAGATTTCACATGGCCCCTCGCAATAATCCATTCCTAAAACTCCTCGTTTGCTTTTCCCGGAGCTGCCTGGGGTTTCCCTGGATTTCCTGCTCCTTGCCCAGGGTTTGGGATGAGCTGGCCGTGTCCTTGCAGGGCTCAGGTACAACGCGACCATCGACGAGCGCCGCTACTCGCCCCGGGCCCACCTGGATGACGGCGCCGAGCGGGCAAGGGGGCTGGAGCTGCCGGCGGGGCAGGAGCACTGCCACAGCCTCCCCTTCCACGTCCTGGTGAGTGTGGAACGAGGCTGGGAATGAGCCTCCTCATCCCCTGAATTCCTCCATCCCCCTGAATTCATCCATCCCCCTGAATTCATCCATCCCCCTGGATTCCTCCATCCCCCTGGATTCCTCCATCCCCCTGGATTCCTCCATCCCCCTCAATTCCTTCATTCCCCTGGAATCCTCCATCTCCCTGGATTCCTCCATCCTGCTGGATTCCTTCATCTCTCTCCCTGGATTCCTTCATCCCCCTTCATTCCTCCATCCCCCTGGAATCCTCCATCCCCCTCAATTCCTTCATCCCCCTGCATTTCTCCATCCCACTTCATTCCTCCATCCCTCTGGATTCCTCCACCCTGCTGGATTCATCCATCTCCCTCCATTCCTCCATATCCCTGGATTCTTCCATCCCCCTGGATTCCTCCATCCCCCTGGATTCCTCCCCGCCGGTTTGATGCGGTCGGGGATGGAGCTTCCAGCACGTGGCAGCTGCCGACTCCCCAAGCGGTGACATCATCACAGCTTCCACATGCTCCGTGTCCTCGGGGAGCTCCTCATCCCAGCTTCCTGCTCCAAAATTCCTGTTTTTTTCCCATGGAGATGGCCCTGGCGGTGTCCCCCTGTCCCAGCCCGGGGTTCGGAGCTGGTGGATCCCTCGCTCGCAGGGAACGGCTGATGCACAAACCTGGCCAAAGCCAAACATTCCCAGGGAATGAGGAGAATCTCATGGAAGCCAGGCAGGCTCCAGCTGCCAGACTGGCCCGGCCCCAAGCCCCGGCCTGAACTGCCGTGAACTTTTGGGAAATTTGAGGCTGGAGCTGGTGATTTAGCCCAAAAAACATCTCCCTTCAGAGCATCCCTCTGCACCCCGGCACAAGGAACGGGAGGAGCTCCTGGGGGCTTCCAGAGGGCAGGGTTAGCTGGGATACAGGGAGGGAATTCCTGGCTGGGATGGAATTCCCAGAGGAGCCGTGGCTGGCCCCTGGAAATGTCCAAATCCAGGTTGGATGAGGCTTGGAGCAACCTTGGAGCATGGGATGTGTTTTGTATTTGCATCCCAGCCCTGGCTGGGGGCTGCAGGACAGATCTGGGACCTTGGAGGGACACCTGAGGTGTCCTGGGCTCCTCTCTGACCTTCTCCTTGTGCCACAGGACACGGCAGATTACGTGAAGCCGGTAACGTTCTCCATCGACTACGAGCTGGAGCACACTGAGCACGGCCCCATGCTGGAGGATGGGTGGCCCACCTCACTCAGGGTCTCTGTAGGTAGCAGCTGCCACCTCCCCGGTGACACCTCCCCAGTGACACCTCCTAAAGTTCCTCCCAAAGTTCCTCCTCCCAAAGTTACACTTCCCAGGTGCCACCTCCTAAAGTTCAACCTCCTAAAGTTCCTCCTCCCAAATGCCACTTCCCAAAGTTCCACCTTCCCAAGTTCAACCTCCTGAAGTTCCACCTTCCAGGTGCCACCTCCCAAAGTTCCTCCTCCCTGATGCCACCTCCCTGGTGCCACCTCCCAGAGTGTCACATCCCAGGTTACCTCCTCCCAGGTGCCACATCCCAAGTTCCACCTTCCAGGTGCCACCTCCCAAAATTCCACCTCCCAGGTGCCACCTTCCAAAGTTCCTCCTCCCAGGGCACTAGGGCAGATTTATCTCCGGGAAATCGTCACCGTTGTCCCCTCAGGTCCCCTTCTGGAACGGCTGCAACGAGGACGAGCACTGTGTCCCGGACCTGGTGCTGGATGCCAGGAGTGACATTCCCAGTGCCACGTGAGTTGGAGACCCAGAGCATCCTCCAGGAGTGTCACCAGCTCGGGGGAGGCTCCAAACTCCTGCCCCGATCCTCATTCCGTAAATTCCGGCTGGATGGATTCCTTCATCCAGCATCACCACCAGGTTCATCCCAGCCCTCCATGAGGCGCTCCTTGGAGCTTCTGAGCCTCTCCCCGCTCCCTGCCTGGAAGGAATCCGTGGTTTTTCGGGGAATTTGGTGCCATGGTGATGAGTTCCAGGGATACAAATCAGGAAATAACAGGGAATTAACTGCAAGGCTGGCATGACCCACCTGGCAATTACGGGCTTGACTCATGGAAAAAATTCCACGCTGCAGCTCCGTGGTTAAAGAGCTATTAAAGGTTATCCCTGAATCCACAGGAGCCTCTGGAGCCCCTCTGGAGCCAGGCTGGGAGAGCTGGGAATGTTCCCCTGGAGAAGGGAAGGATCCAGGGAGAGCTGGGAATGTTC